CCTGTACAATTGTAAGAGAGCAATGAATAAAAAGGGAGATATTTCTTATGCTACATTCTTTTCTTGGTCATTTCTGTAGTCACAGTCTATGTAATCTTAACTACGTAATCCTGACATCTGAATTCACAAATTTGTATAATATATAGGTAACATTTGGATATAAGACTAGAGGTATAGAGAAACACTTGGGAAATGTGTTCTCAGTCAGTTAAAGAAAATTAAAGTGCTAGATGGAATCGGAACCAATAGTATCAAATAATTTGAACCTTTCCTAATAAGAATGCCTAATCAAATCTCAGGGAAACACAGACACACAGAGCATCCATATTTCCAACTACTAATATTTTTGGTGGAACTTAAGACACACACAGTAAATAATGATCTTAGTACAATCAAAGCTCCTCTCCCGCCTCCCGAAGGGTCCCCTAGGGAAAGAACATGTCTATTTATAGCTTATTTTAGGTTTTTTTGTGGATTGGGGTGAAGGTAAGTTAGATTAGCCTGGGTAAGTGAGATTTTGTTGTTAGTACACTTCTGGAAATGTTGACCCACTACTGCCTGATACTGGATTAAATGGCTAAAAATAATTTAAAAGGCCCACATTCCATCTAGGTAAACAATTAAGACCAATTTGTCCCCACTTGTATTGCAGGTATCACTGTCTACATACAGGATATATGAAAAAACTTTAAAGAAACAAAGACTTCAATACTGAATCAAAGATTTAGAATGGGAACTAACCCCCTGAGGCCCTCTGGACCAGCCTCTCACATCTTAAAATGAGGTAACTGAAAGCCAGAGAAGTTAAGTGACTTAAAGGTTCAAGGTCACAAAGGTGGTATCAGAGGCAGAATTTAAACCCAGGTGCTCTGATTCCAAATTTAACATTTTTTCCACAGTTGTGGTTGTTCAGTTTTTTTTCAGTTGTGTCTGACTTTTTGTGACCCCATTTGGGGTTTTCTTGGTAAAGATACTGGAGTGGTTTGCCATTTCTTTCTCCAGCTCATTTTACAGATGAGGAAAGTGAGGCAAACAAGGTTAATTGACTTGCCAAGGGTCACACAGCTAGTAAGTGTCTGAGACCAGATTTGAACTCAGGAAGGTGAATCTCCCTGTCTCCAGGCCATGCACTCTTCCACCGTGCCACCTAGCTGTCCCTCTTTCCATGGAATCTTAATCACTTGCTTTGTTCTATATCCTGCTCAAACAGTAGGAGTATATCTACTTGGATGTCTCACAGCCATCTCAAACTCAAGTTGTCTAGCTGCTTCTACCTTCACACTAAAGAGTTGAAAATTGACCCTAGAGATAGTATGGAGCCTTAAGTTGACTAACATGATTGGATCAGGGCTTTAAGAAAAAATCATTTTGGTAGCCACTTTCATCAGTTCCCACTGTGTACAGGATATGGATGGATATATATTGTGCACATACGTGCATGCACACACATATTTTGGGGGAACATAAGATTCTGGAACTGTGGGAAACACTCACAAAGTAGAAACTTAAATTCTGTTTTGGAAACTCCCTCCATAAAAGCAGAGAGAAACTGATCTCTAAGTTAGTCTTAGAAAATTGCATGGGGCCACAGAAAGGTTAAGAAAATGTGTCAGAGAAGACGTCTGAAACTAGGTCTTCCTGACTGCAGGACAGGTCCTTGTTAGAATAATTAGTGTTTTATTCTGAGTGGGGCACATTTAACCCTACCAAAGTTTGGCTCCAAATTACCATGTTTTTTTCATCACAAATCCCCCCCCCCAATTAACCTTCACACATTGTTTCTGCCCTTTCCTGTCTCCCTGCAATTCCGTTTCTGTCATCACAGAAGTGCTGGTAAATGTTTAACAACTGTCTCTCCAGAAAAAAAGTACTCACAGCACATTTTGAAGTTTAATTTGCATTATTATTTTCTTAAATCTAGAAAATTAACAAAACAATAAATCAAACCCTGATTTGTAGGCTTTGCTGATTTGAGGTGTAAATACTCACGCTTGAAAATTTTACATTTAGGCAGAATCAAGGGGGCTCTAAACCAGACACAGGATTCCTTCTACATCTGTTCTTGCTTACTGCACCAACAGTTTAGGATGCTGCCTCTTCTATAAAGCCTTCTGCAAATGTCTCATAAACCTCTCACCAGACTAGATCCTATGTGCTTATTATATTCTAATATATAATATATCAATTTGTGTGGTCTTATCCCCCTACTAGATTGCAAGTTTCTTGAGGCCTTTCCACCTGTGTATTCTCAATGTCTATATACCATACATATGGCAGATATTAAATGCTTATTGAATATGAATTCCTATATAGAGAAAAATAACTCAAGAACATACTTTATGGAAGATGGAATTTTCCCCAGGTCCTACACAAATAGGAAGACAACAGTTTTCATTTATAGAAAACTTTTAGAATTTACAGAGCCCTTTATATGCATTCATATTTAATTATTTCAATAACCCTGTAAGGTAATTAACCTAAGTATTATTATACCTAAATACACACTCAGAGATAAGTTAATTTGACTAGGTTCACAACTAGCAAGTGGCAAAGCTCAAACTCAAGTCTTCTGACTAAGTTCAGTGGAATATCAGCATTCCAGATGTCTAAGTAATCTTTGAGGACTGCACTGATTCTCTACAGGAAGGAGTTAATGGACAAGAGGTCAATCAAGAATGCAATAAATGAAAACAGTGGGGCGTGATCTAACTCAAGGCAAATGGAAGTCCGAGAAGCAAAAAGATGGCTGAAAAGGCAACAGGCCTTGTCAACAGTAATTGCAAACTAAAGGTTTGTTTTCACATATACACTGTGAAAATTACAGCTAGTCCACACCTGCACACATATAGAGTCTTCCTTAAACATGCAGGCAATAACATATAATGGAATTAAGGATGGGCTGTAACCAAAAGAAGACCAAATGATAGTTTAAAACTTCAAGAACCAAAATTTCTCTAGGTGAACTGAGGCAGAGGAAAGATAAGGACCAAGAAAATGAGCAAAAAACGAAACAAAAGTCTAAAAAGATGCCTTACCCCATTATGAAAAATTCATACATTGAAAGGAAGCCCTGCCTTTCAAATAAAATAAAAGTAGCTCTTAGGAAGGCTAAAACAATTTAAAGTTGAACAATGGCCACTGACCATCTGATAATCATTCAAATGCTTCTCTTATGGATTAAAACTATAACAAAGTAAAGATGGGAATCATATTACAGAAAAGAAAATAAAACAAGTTCCAAATTTGACCTGATTCAAATGTGATCTATAAATGCTACACTGCAAGTCAGGAAATCTGGGTTCTAGTTGTGAGTAGATGAACAAATCACTGTAGCCTCTTTATGTTTTGAACTATCTCCTAAGGATTAAGACTATCCCTTAATAGTTCACACAAAGATCTTTTTCAAGATCACAGATATTTTTGCCACTTTGGAAATTTTTACCAATCTTTTCCATATTTATGAGAATCAGATTCTTTGATGCATATTAGCTTCTATAGCCTAAAGAAACACAAAGGAACACATTTCCAATCTTTATAAGCATGTTTACTTGCTCTTAGTGTAATTTCTTTTAGTTCCTAGACCTGAGGATATGCATATGTATTCTTACTCTCTCTGGGATTAATGGGCTGAAAAGTAGAATAAATCTGTATTATGGTTATAGTCTTTATGAGTTGAGAGGGGAAAAGCCACATGAAGATGACTACCTATTGTAGAAAATGAATGAAAATCATATAAACAGTTTTAAGGGCTTTAAAAAGAAGTAGTTGAGAGGGCATGGGTCTTGAAAAACATATGACAACTAAGCACACAAAGAAAGTTGACATCTTGAAAGTTATTTCCCAACTAGTGATTCAGGACACAACAGTGTATCATAAAGACATTACTGATGTATCATGGCAAACCTGGCTTTGCTTGCAGCTCCAGCTTTGGCTCACAAGTGCAGACTTTTCTTGTGCTGGAGTCTTTATCTCACTTTGCTGTTAGTTTACGCCAAGTCACAGGCACGGGGGCATGTGCAAATCCTAATGTGAGTCCTTGAACCCCAGACAAATTGCCACTATCGATGGGTTACGTCTTCATTTCATTTTCTTTCAGTCATGAATAGTCTCCTTACAGAACTCTTTCCCAACCCCATTACCACAAAGGTGTTCACAATATACTTACAAGCTGCTGCTAAATCAAAGCTAAGAAATGCTGATCCAGTCTTTATGAAGTCAGGGATGAAATTACTTATCTTTTGTGCAGCACTAACTTTTGCTTCATACTAAAGAAAAAGTGCCTACAGTTTGATTGGCAATCTACTTACAAGAAAAGTTTAAATTTTATACGTACACTTCACTAATTTTGTTTCTTCATAATTCTTTGACAGCGAACAAACATGCACCTAACACAAGAGTAACCTCTACGAATATGTTATGTCAAAACAGGTCTTGGCGTTTGATCCTATATGCTTTGAATTTCCCGAAGTGCAAGGATGCAAACAATTCCTCTGCAGGCTCTCCTCACCCACCTGTTGCATTACCCCCAATCTCGTGTGTGTGTGTGTGTGTGTGTGTGTGTGTGTGTGCATGCGCGTGTGCGTCTGTGTGTGTGTGTGTGCATATCCACAGTTGGGACCTGGAGGAATTAAGGAGTATTTCCGAGCGTGGAGAAGGACTGCGAGCGCAGCAGGAGAGGCCGGACTAGGACGGAGACGGAGACGGAGGGGGAGGGGGAAGGGCCGGGAGAGTTTGGCGCCGGAGCGTCCGAGCTCCCTCAAGGATCACACCGGGGGCTGGGGGAGCTCGCGCCGGCCAGGGGCCGGGGCGGCCCGGCCTGGGGGTCGAGGCGGGGCCAGGGCGGACGCTCCAGGATGGACCGGGCTCAAGCAGCCTGGGCATCGCGGGGGAAGGGGGTATCCTCGGCGGGCCCGGTCCAGACGGAGGGGGGGGAAGGAGGGGTTCCTCAGGTTCGCGCCCGCGCCGCCGTGGGGGGAGGGGCGGCAGGGGCCCGCACTCACCATGTCGTACACGTTGAGAACCACCAGCTGATTCGCCCCCATCCTCCTCCCCGCGGTCGCCGCGTCTCGCCAGAACGTGGGGGCCCTCCCGCCCCCCGCCTCGGCTCTCTCTCCCAGACAAGCCCCGACGAAGGCCGCTGCTCCCCCCGCCGGCGCTTCGGGGAACGACACCCGGGGCAGACTAGACGTTCAGAGGCAGGACCGCCACAGCATCGGGGGCCTGGGGAGCGCACACGGGACGGGCGGAGACGGAGCCTCTCCCCTGCTAGCAGCACAAGAGATAGCGCGGGTGGCCCGGCCGGCTCCCACTCCTTTGAAGGAGGCAGCTCCTCCTCCCCGAGGCGGACACGTGGGAGAGGCGGGGCCTCGACGAGGGGCGGCTGCCAGGCGTCCCCCTTGGAGGCGGGGCCCGCCCGGCACAGAAGTGGAGCCGGCCTCGGCCACGGCCCCTTCGAGGCCTAAAATGGTGGCCCCATCACCGCCGTCCTCCCTCCACCTTCGGGGAGGAGCTCGGCGAGGAGACTACAATTCCCGGCATGCAGCGCGGGTCCCCTGACACTCCTCCCCTCCCCCGCGATGACTACAGTTCCCAACATGCAGTACGGAGGTCTTTTCCCCGCCTCATCCCAGCCTACCAGATCTCAACGATGACTACTACTATTACTACTACTGCTCCAACCTTCCCCATCCTCCCCACTCCAAAGCAAGCCTTTGCACCTTAATAGATGACAACACCTTACTGCGGTGTTGCATGCTGGTTCTTGAAGTCTTCGTCCTTTGCACCGCTCTAGTGGTGATGTTGGGAAAAGTCTTGCCAGGAAGCCTGCAGCTGGCAGGTGCAATGGGTAGAAATACAGGTGTTCCTTTCACCCGCCCCATACTCTCGAGTCAAAGTGAGAATGCAACCGAACCCCAGTGGCTCTAAATCTCTCCTTTTTTTCTGTGAATAGCGAAAATCTAAAATACAATGCAGCTACGGATCAATGCATGCCTGCGTGCTAGTCCTCTCTACCTCCCCTCACTTTATTCCATTCTTCTCCTTGCTCCCCTTTTCCTCTCTCCTCTGGCCTTGACTGATGCGTATTTGTGATGGTACCTTCTGTTTTATGAAAACTATTCTATTATGATGGAGGAGAGAGAAAAATAGAATCTTCTTTCTCGGAAAAGTCAGGCAACAGGGAGGGTTCAAGGGAATAAAAAAGAAAAACGTCCTCTCCCGGGTTCTTGTCTAGCTGGCAGATCTATTTAGTTGGTTACAATCTAATGTTGTTTGTGAAATACAGTGAAGAACAGCAATCCGGGAAAGTTCATCCTTCTACAATCTAGTTTATAGTTGGGAGCACAAGAAGAATTGGGAAGAAAAGTATGGATGGAGAAAAATAAATCCATTTCTATTGCTGGGCAAACAACCCAATGTAACTTTCTAAGGAGAGTGTTGCTCTGTTTTTGAGGAAATGTTCTTAAATAGCACATGCTGTATTACAGTCAACTCATAAACGATCTTCCAAAAACCAAGAAGTTCCACAGGTTTCTTAAGTTTCTTTGGTGTACAACTCTATTTTTGGTATCGTTGGGTGTTTTTGGATGTGTAAATGTAACTGGATAGGTTTATCCCTCAGTCTTGCTACCCATTCCCATCGTAGGATCAGATGAAAAGATTTCAATTCTAAAAGGATGCTGATATATGTATATATCTATTATACTGTAAACTCCATGAGGCTAGAGACTGTTTTATTTAACGCTAATTTCTCTCAGCTCCTACCATATATTTTGTACATAGAAGGCAAATATTTAATATTGGTTGAATGAATTAGTGACCCAGAAGTGGAGTGGGGGGACCTAGCTGACAGCAAGCCTTGGCACACTAAAAGATTTGGCCACGGATGAACTCCTGTAATTTTCTTGAGTATTTAGAATTTTTTAAAGGACATAATTCAGAAATTTTACCAATACTTAGCATTTTAGAGCTAGAAGGTATGTAAGAGATCATCTGGTTCTACCCTTTTACTTTATAGTAGTGGAAACTGAGACCCAGAGTCACTAAGTGATTGGCCCAAGGTCACAAAGTTTGTTAGTGATAAAGTGAAGACTAGAATTGAGGTGTCCAGGCTCCTGGTCCAGTGATCTATTTATTTCCTATCTATAATACTATTACTTTTGTTGATTGGTATGTAGAAACTTTTAAATGTCTACCTATCCTATTGTTTAGCAAGGCAAAGGTCTGGCCAAGCTTTGTACAATAACTGGAAGGAGGGTCAATAATAATAACTATCATTTATATAGACTATGTGCTCAGCTCAGCACTCAACAATTATTATATAATTTAATTCTCACAACAGCCCCAAGAAGGAGAGAGGTGCTTGAGAAGTAAGAGTCTGAGGCCAGATTTGAACTCTGTTGTTCCTGACTCCAGGCCTGGTGCTCCATCCACTGTGCCACCATTCCACAGCTTTCAAGGGAGTAAGGTCTAGGACAGCAGAGGTGGATCAAGTCTTCCTCCTAGACCAGTTAAAGGCTAGAATTAAATTTCTTTGCCGCTCCTCAAATATCTATACAGGTACAAGTCTGGGTTTGGAAGGAGAGCCATTTCCCTGATTGATCTTAAGACTGAGGTTAGTTTCTAGTTTACTTTTAACAGCTTAGATCCTCCCCATCAAATACTAGTTACACTTTAAAAGGCCAGAAATAAGCAACAGTGATTAAATCCATTTAAGCACAACAACAAACAGGATTTGGGAAAGTTCTAGGGATTAGAATATATTGAAGAATATATAAGAAGGAGTGAATATTTTAGCTAGGAGCAAAATAAGAGTTTAGCTCAAACCTAGAGAGAGAAAAGGATGTATATAGTCGAGGGACATCCTCTCTCAGTAGTTCCTGCTGCGGGGCCCCTCCCAGTTTTGCTTTGTTTTTTTTTCCTTAAAGGGGCCATCCCTTGACTCACTCCTTACAGAGGGCTCTTCGCTGAATGGATGTTACCTCACTCAAAGTGAGAACCTGAAAAGACCTTAGCTTAAAAGGACAAGGGTCTCCCATTGCATCTTGGGCCATCTCCAGTTGTCCTGATGAATATCTGGTCACTGGACACAGATGGCTCTGGAGGAGAAACTGAGGCTGGTGACCTTGCACAGTCCTCCCTCACTCAAATCAAAATCAATTGCAAGTCAAGTGCATGACCTCCCTGATGTCATGGTCCTCTTCGAGAACAAAGGACAAGCACAACCTGTGAATAGTCCAAACTGTCTGAATAGGGACCCAGCTAGCCAGTTCCAATTGGGTCCCTCAGCTCGTTGTCCCCTTTCCCTCTCCCCCTCCCTCACCTTTTCCCCCTCCGTCTTCTCCTCCTCTTCCTCTCTGGGGTTTACTGGCTAGATTTCTTTCTCAAAGACCAAGCCTTAAAACAAAACAACAAAGGAATAGGAAAGCAAATAGTATGCTTCCATTTGCGTTCAGACTCCAGAGTTCTTTCTCTGGATGTGGAATTTCCATCATGAGTCTTTTGGAGTTGGCTTAGATCCTTGCATTACTGTGAAGAGGCAAGTCTATCAAAGTCAGTCATCCTACAATGTGGCTGTTACTATCTACAATGTTTTCCTGGTTCTGCTCATTTCACTCAGCATCAGTCCATACAAGTCTTTCCAGGTTTTTCTGAAGTCCACCTGCTCATCATTTCTTATAGCATAATAGTATTCCATTACATTCATATAACACAACTTGTTCAGCCATTCTCCAATTGATGGGCATCTCCTCAATTTCCAATTCTTTGCCACTACAAAAAGAGCTGCTATAAATATTTTTGTACATATGGGTCCTTTTCCCATTTTTATGATCTCTTTGAGATATAGACCTAGAAGAGATATTGCTGTGTCAAAGGGTACGCACAATTTTATAGTCCTTTGGGCATAGTTCCAAATTGCTCTCCAAAGTGGTTGGATTATTTCACAACTCCACCAATAATGCATTAGTGTTCTAATTTTCTCACATCTTCTCCAACATTTATCATTGCCTTGTTTTGTCATGTTAGCCAATCTGATAGGTGTGAGGTGATACCTCAGAGTGGTTTTGATTTGCATTTCTTTAATCAATAGTGATTTAGAACATTTTTTCTGATGACTATAGATAACTTTAGTTTCTTCCTCTGAAAACTGCCTGTTCATATCCTTTGACAATTTATCAGTTGGGGAATGACTTGTATTCTTATAAATTTGATTTAGTTCTCTATATATTTTAGAAATAAGGCCTATATCAGAGACACTGGTTGTAAAAATTCTTTCCCGGTTTTCTACTTCCCTCCTAATCTTGGATGCATTGACTTTGTTTGTGTTTTGTTTTATTGCTTCATTCTTGTGGTTCCTCCTATTAGTTCTAATTGTTCTTTACATCATGACTAATGGGAAAATATGCTTAATATGAATGTATAAAGTACAGCCTATATCAGATTGCACGCTGTCTTGTGGGGGAGAGGAGTGGGTGGGGAGAAAATTTAAAACTCAAAATCTTATGGAAGTGAATGTTGAAAACTAAAAATAAATTAATTAATTAAAAAAAAAAAAGACCAAGCCTTAAACCCAATTCACTCTGGAGCTCTCAGATTGGGCAACAAGAGGTCCCTGCCCAAACACCACTTAGTGGTTATTCTTTGGGACCTCCTGGCTCAAAGTGAATGTCAATAGTAACTGTTTCTCTTTTGGCCAGCAACCCTGAAGGTCTTCCCCTTCCAATTTGTTTTTGTTTTTTTTTTTATTAAAGGGGCCATCCCTTGACTCACTTCTTAAAGAGGCCTATTCACTGAATGGACGTTACTTCACTCAAAGTGAGAACCTGGAAAGACCTTAGCTTAAAAGGGCCAGGGTCTCCCATTGCATCCTGGGCCATCTCCAGTTGTCCTGATGAGTATCTGGCCACTGGACCCAGATGGCTCTGGAAGAGAAAGTGAGGCTGCTGACCTTGCACAACCCTGCCTCACTCAAATCAAAGTCAAGTGCAAGTCATGTCATCACCTCCCTGATGTCATGGTCCTCTTCGAGGACAAAGGACAAACACAACAACAAATAATGTCTAAACTCCTGCACCTCGAATCAAGCCTCTCTATAGACTGGCTCAAACTTACCTTTTCAATCTTTTCTCATACCTGCTTCCCCTCATATATTTTACTTTCTAGCTAATTGTACTATTTGCCATTCACTGGTGAACATATTCCAAAGTTTTCAACTTTAGTACTATTATTCATTCTTCCCTATGGATGCAATACTCTTCTCGCCATCTCTGTTCTGCTGAAATCCTGCTCTTCCCTTCAAGGCTCAGCTCCCATTTTATCACCTCTTACATGAAATCTTCTCCACCTTCCTTCCTCTCCTACATCCCACCCCCACTCCAAGACACATGCCACAGAAATGATTTCTACATCCTCCTTAAATAGGCACTTTTTCTCTTAAGCACTTAGTACATTCTAATTAGTATTGTATTTATTTCTGTACTTGTCTTATCCTTCCTAGTAAACAGTAAACCCTCTTGAGGTAGGAACCATGACATTAATCTATATATATCTTCCATTATTATTGTTGTTGTTCAGTTGTGTCCAACTCTTCGTGATCCCATGGGCCATAGCACACTAGACCCTTCTTTCTTCCACTATCTCCTGAAGTCTGTCCAAGCTCATGATAGTTGCTTCCATGACACTATCTATCCATCTCATCCTCTGCTGACCCCTTTTCAATCCTTCCCAACATCAGCGTGTTTTCCAAGAGTCCCATCTTCTCATTATGTGGTCAAAGTATTTCAGCTTCAGCTTCAGCTTCCAGTGATTAGTCTGAATTAATTTCTTTAAGT